AGCCCAGGCTGGCCTCGAACTCACAGAGATCCGCCTGGCTCTGCCTCCCGAGTGCTGGGATTAAAGGCGTGCGCCACCAACGCCCGGCTCTTTTTTTTTTGAGACAGGCTCTTGGTATACAGCCCAAGCCAACTTTGAACTTGTGACACCCCTACCTGCATCTTCCAAGTGATAAGATCACGGGCCTCGTGTGTGTGTGTGTGTGTGTGTGTGTGTGTGTGTGTGTATACACATAAAAACACATGTGACCAAACACATTAATAAACATATATGTAAGCATACAAACATATAAACATATAAATATATGTGTATTTTAAGCAAAATAAAAGTGTTATGGAACTATGGTTTCCTTACCAGGGAATATAAATATAACAAAATTTTATACTAAATAGCGACCATAGATGTCTTTATCTTGTTCTCTGGGATTTGAATGCTTGCCTCAATGTGAACATCAGTAGGTTAAAAAGAACTCAAGACTCTGGCACCACACTATACTTTAGCAATGTGGTATTATTTAATCTGTCCACTGTAAAGTATCTCTCATCTGCTTCAAAAACAAGGAAAGCACTAGTACAAAAAGGTCTGATTTTGGCATCAATAACCATACTCAGGACTGGATTTCAGTCACAGACTAGTTATGAGTGAAAATAACAAGGGTATGCTCAATCACACGCTGAAAACATCAACATTTGCTGAAGGTCACCCTCTGGCTGTCTCTGCCCTTTCTTACTCTGGCTTCAAGCGCTCTTTCGCAGGCCTGCCTGAACTCCTCTTGTCCATTTGCCAGTCTCTCTTGCTGGAGAACCATTTCTTCATGGAGTTTCCTCTCTCTAACTTGTGCTTCCTCTTTTTCCCACTGGGATTGTGCAAGGATTTCACTGAATTGTTTCTGTAGACCAGCGAGACTTTTCCCCAAGATATCTGAAGGACTATGGATTCTAAGGAGAAAAAACAAGAAGGTATAAATGTGACATTTAATTTGATGCAAACATGTCAAGATTAAGAGTAGGAAGTACTGTGCAAAGGGACTGTTGTCAATTGCAGCATTTTGCTCAAGACCTCCTAAGAGCAAATCACTGTATCAAATCACTGTGGCCACTCTGAAGACACAGGCTAAGAACACATGTCCACAAATTTGAGGTTATCCTGTTTTGTACTCATTCTCTACTGAAAATGCATACTCTTCTATCGGATGAACTTTCAAGAAAGATTCTTAAACAAATACCTTTATGCTGTTATTAGAATGAAGCAATCCTGCATCACTGTCTTTCAGAAACATCAGTTAGCACTACAAAGACTGAGGACGGGGAGCTCATGGCTGGTCTCAGGCACAGCTCTGAGGTGGGAAGGCTCACTCTAACTTGGGGGTCCTGCTTCTCCTTACCTCATTTCTCCAGCTCCTAGTTTCAACTTTCTCCTTAGCTCATCTACACGAGCTGCCACTTCTTCTGGATGAATCAGACCATCAACCACATGGTTGAGGTGGTTCTGGAAATCTTTTAGCTGCTGCTTTAATAGGCTGTTGTCATCCTGTGTGTAGGGGGGAAATGGAGAAGATGTGCTATCTGCCAACAGATTCATTACTAACAGATGCAAGAGCATATCTTGACCACAGAATGAAATTCATATGGTGCCTCTGTCAAATAAAAAGAATTGTTAAAATGTCCCCACAATATAAAGAAAAATGTTGTAAATCCTAAGAGATAGATGAGTGCTAGTCCCTTGAATGCCTGTAATACCCTAGGGATTACTCTATTTCAAATCCAGGGCAGCACCACTAGTTACAAGGAGGATCTAAAGTGGCAAATGCATTTTAAGTGCCCACGGCATCTAGGTCTGATCTGTACCCTCCCTCCCAGTACCCTGAACCACAGTGTCCTCCCCCACTTTATGGGTTTTCAACTGTTCTCTCCTGATACTGTGTGGAGGCAAGGAGACCCAGCTCCCGGAGTAGCCAGGCTACCAGGGTAATACCTCTATAGTGCACCCAGACGCCATGTTTTTTACAGTCTTGTGTTTTTGAATGTCATCATGTTTCCAATAAGTAACAACAGATGGCCAACATTTTATTATAAAATAAGCTTTATGTTAAGGTAACTTTTCCTTACTAGACTAAATACACATATTCTAAGCACATTTAAGGATAGTTGGGCCATAGTATGATATTCAGCTTAGGCATAGTAAATGTATTTTCAAGTTATTTCCCATTTGTAGTGGGTTTGTCAGGACATAACCCTATCATAAATCAAGGACCTCTCTATAGCCTAATCTTGGCCCTACGGGATCTGACTCAAGACCAGCCAACCCACTGAGAGCCTATCTTCATAGTTTAAAGCTGGATATAATACATATAAAGTCTGTACAAGAGTTGGACCTGAAACAATACATAAACTCAGGACTAGGGTTCAGGTTGTGTTAAATATGATACACAGAGAATTAGGAAAAAGAAATAAATATGAGAGCTATTGAGCCCCTAAAAGAGTGATCAATAATTTTGATTCTCAGCAAATTATGTGTTGACAGTTTCCTTCTAGATTAAAATATTCCATCCTGTAGGGAAGTACCTTAAGCAGGAATGTAAACAGCTCAAAATAGCTTCATGAACTCCCTGAAACTGACCAGATTCACTAGGCCCCTCCCCGCCAGAGTAAGCAATAGAAGCTGAGAAAACCTCTCAGCCAAGTAAGTTGGGCTGCAAAGAAGACTGAGACCAGAGCAGCTGTCTAGGAATAGTAGAAACCAGCTAAGCTGCCGGGAAGAGGTGTAGACGAGTCACTTAGGAAGGACACTCTCCAACCTGCTGAGCTGCCTGCAGGCTGTGCAGTGTGCTCCAGGTTCCCAGCTTCTGTAAGCTGTCACCTGTGTGCAGGTGGGCATTAGTGATGCAGCTGTCTGAGTCATTTCTGCTCCTGTAAGGGACCCCTCACTCACATTCCTGTAAGGAACCCCTCACCCACATTCCAGTAAGTGACTCCTCACCCACATTCCTGTGTTAACACCAATAAACATCCATTGGTTCACCAAGTTGGACTTTGGTGGTATGCATACTTTGGTTTGTCTACTCATCCTATCAAATTGACATTTGAGAAAGATAAAGGTAGAGGGTAAAAGCTATACTCTCCATCAGGAGGCTAGAAGGCCAAGTAGGATCTAATCCTAACCAAGGCAAACCATGATAAGGCCAGGTTGTAAAGTGGACTTCAGTTTATACTTTAGAGAAAGGCCCCTGAAGACTTGATTTTAGTTCTTTCCAGTAAGAGATTAATATTAAGAAATATTAAGTATTTCTAGGTGAAAATACACTGGGCTTTTCTTTTCTTTTTGAGACAAGGTTTCACTATGTAGTCCTATTGTTCTGGAACTCATTACATATAGACCAGGCTGGTCCAGAACTCACAGAGATCTACCTGCCTCTGCCTCCAGACTTGAATTTTTCTTTAAAATATTTCAAAGAAAAAGAACTCAATGAAACAATATTAATAACTGTATAAAACAGGGCTGGAGAGATGGCTCAGCAGTTAAGCACACTGGCTGCTCTTCCAGAGGACCTGGTTTCAAGTCCCAGTACCCACATAGCAACTTACAATTGTGTGTAACCCCAGTTCCAGGGGATCTGACACCCTCATACAGACACACATTTAGGCAAAACATCAATGTACATTTTAAAAAAAATTGTAGCCAGGTGGTGGTGGCGCACACCTTTAATCCCAGCACTCGGGAGGCAGAGCCAGGCGGATCTCTGTGAGTTGAGGCCAGCCTGGGCTACAGAGTGAGTTCCAGGAAAGGCGCCAAAGCTACACAAAGAAACCCTGTCTCGGAAAATAAACAAAACAAAACAAAACAAAACAAAAACAAACAAACAAAAAAAAATCCAACCACCAATAGGTTAAAAAAATTGTATAAAACAGGCAATGGATTAAAAAGTCATGGGGTTATTTTGTTTTTGTGATCATCTTAAACTTTCATACTAAAAATAAAAATTAATCCAGTAAAGACTGCAAGCAAACACACACACACACACACACACACACACACACACACCCCACACACAGATGAAAAACTGATTATATTTTTAATTGCATCTTTACTGAGAAGACTGTGAGAACTGGTTTTAATTAGGAGAGAGACATTTCAATGGAGAGGGTGCACCGATCGAGCAGTCTTAGCTCGGCCTGCTGACAGTTCCTAGGAAGCAGGCAAGGAGCTGCTTTCACAGAGGAGAGTTTACAGGTCCTGGTTAATCCGGTTAATGAAAAGCAGCGTTAGGAAGACGCAGAGGCTCTGGTGCGACTCCTCCAGAGTTCATTCTCACCTAACAGTTCACGCTGCGTAGTGCATGTTAGAGCAGGCTGTTAACCCTGAGTAAGTCACCACAGCTCTGGGTGCTCAGGTCTTTACCTGCAGCTTTGTAAGCTGTGTGCGGAGCTTGTTGTTCTCCTGTTGCTTCTCTTCCGAGGACTGGGCTTTGCCCAGGACATCCCTGAGGGACTCTCTTTCCTTCTCCAGTTCTGTCTGAAGCACAGACTGCTCTAGCTGGTGTCAGAGGAAGCAACGGTATCAAAGTGAAAAATGGTCACAGTTGATGATCCCAAACGCATAGGTATGTTTACATGTGCACACACACCATGGCTACAGCTGTACATTAATACTCTGAAGTTAAAACCCGAGGTCACTTTCCACATGTCACTCTGACTACATGTGAGGAATTCACATCAGAATTAGCTCAGCCTGGATAGACCATCAGAATCTTCAGGGCAGTCTCCAATACCAATCTTTAAAAGCAAACTGTGGTCCTCAAACACCGGTATCAAAATAATTTCATATTTATTAAAAGTGAGGGGATGGAGAGATGGCTCAGCTGACTGCTCTTCCAGAAGTCCCAGGTTCAATTCCCAGCACCCACATGGTGGCTCACCACCATCTGTAACCTCAGGTCCAAGCATTAGACACGTCTGGCCTTCACAGGTACCAGGAATGCATGTGGTGCACAGACAGCCAAGGAAGCAGCACGTGAGGCCTGGTTTGTAATCCTGGCACTTGGAAGGCTGAGGCAGGAGGAGTGAGAGGGCGGCCTGGGGCGACAAAATGAGAACTTGGAGAGAGGGGGAGAGACAGACAGACAGACAGAAGAAAGAAAGAGGGGGAGGGCTGGAGAGATGGCTCAGCGTTTAAGAGCACTGGCTGTTCTTCCAGAGGTCCTGAGTTCAATTCCCAGCAACCACATGGTGGTTCACAATATCCATAATGAGATCTGGTGCCTTCTTCTGGCCTGCAAGTATGCATGTAAGCAGAACACTGTATACATATAAATAAATACATACATAAATACATAAATAAATAAAATTAAATTAAAAAAAGAAAGAGGGGGAGAAGGGGTGGAGAGAGGGGGCAGATAAAAAGAAGTAGGGAAGGAGGGAAGAAGGGAGGGAGGGAAGAAGGAAAGAGAAAAGGAAGGAAGAACAAAACAAAAGAGCAGACGGCCAGACCCCATCTCAGATCGACAGGTCAGAACATCTATGGACTCTGCATCTCACAAGCTTCACAAATGGTTTCATGTAACTACAGTATAACAACACGAAAGACCAGAGCCTCCATGCTCTGTATTTTCTACATGGTCTGAAGCCCAATCCTGGTGGTTAAGGGTAGAGAACTGCTTTCAATGACAAGTGGACATCAAGATCTTCTAACAGTTTTGTCAAGACTTAACCAAAAATCAAAGCAGAAGTACAAAAGATAGCATCGTTCAGACTAGTTAGGGTGGACTTGAAAAAAAGTTTAAAGAAATGGCATTTAGAAATTTTATTTACTATTATTTTTTTTAAAAAAAGTATTCACTTGTATTTTATTTTCCCCAACCTGCTGTTTTCTGTTACTCTGATCCTGCCAAGGGTCTTGTAAAACTTAAAGCTCTTGAAAATGCAATCCTAATTCTTAGCAAGATGCTAACCTTTGGAGAGTGAAGAACAGATCGTTAACCACTACAGTACAAGTCCTATTCTCAGTTCCTTTCCTAATCACAGGACACTCTCAGCATGTGTCTTTATGCTTTATTTATTATTTTATGTGTCTACGTGTTTGCTGGCATGGATGTCTGTAGACTATATGCATATCTGGCACTTGCAGAGGTCAGAAGAGAGCATCTAATTCCCTGGAACTGGAGTTATAACTGGAGTTATAATTGGTTGTGATCTACCATGTGGGTGCTGAGAATCCATTCTGGTCCTTTGTTAATGTTCTTAAACGCTGAGCTATCTTTTCAGCTCCCCAAACTGTATCTTCTTTTTCTTTCTTTCTTTTTTTATTTCTTGAGTTAGGGTTTCTCTATGTAGCCCTGGCTGTCCTGGAACTAGCTCTGTAGACTAGACTGGCCTCGAACCCAGAGATTTGCCTGCCTCTGCCACCATCACCCAGCCCAAACTGTATTTTTTGCTCTGATAAATACTATGCACAGCTGACCTCCCTCTACCTTCTTATATTAAATTTACCCTCTTTCCTCACTCTTCTTTTGCCCTTAGGTCTGAAGATCCTTCTGCAAGGTCACTCACCCCTCCCTTCCCTGTCCCTTTCACTCCTGACCCTCCCTGTGCCCACAGCCTACCCACTCACCCTCCAGGTCACAGCTGAGACTTCATTTCTAAAGGGTGGTCACCTCTTTCTCTCTCTCACCTGTTTCATGTGCTGGACTATCAACTCCCCAAGACAGGTCCTCAGAGGCAAATGAATACTTATTGGATGAATATTGTTTTCTCTAATTTGCAAGTATAACCAAGAAATGGATCTTTCAACCAACCATAAAAGGAAACAGCAAACTAAAATCTAATATTAACTTAAAAAGAAGGTCTTCGAGCTATTCTGAGAAAGGAAAACTAGGATTTTTATCAAATCTAACTATCTAACTACCAAGGGCTTTAATGGCCATTATCTCCTTTATCTCACCATCTCCTATCTAACAGAGGAACAGGCTGGGGGGCTCAGAGCCCTGAAATGATGTGCCCACATTTAACATAGGGGTAATGTTTGAATTCAGAATGCCAGACTCCCAAAATATACTCTCTGACATGTTCCACCAATTCATATCCATTATATTAAAAATATTTACTATTAGATTACGCCAGGTGTGGTGGCTCATGCCTGTAATCCGAGCACTACAAAGCTGAGAAAGGGTGATTTCCATGAATCCCAGGCCAGCCTAGGCTACACTACATAGTGAGATGCTATCACAGGCTGCTTAGTCTATACTTGGCATATGCTCCACTTACCTGAGTGAGTCTTTTGAGTTTCTCCAGCTCCTCCTTGAGCTGGCTGGCTTCAGCATCCTTTAGTCTTAGCTGAGTCTCCAGCTCAGCTTCGTAGGCACTGAGATCTCCTTGGGCTTGCTGTAGGGATGCATTCATCTCACGCTGCTCCCGGAGGGCACTTTCTAGCTCTATAAGTTCCTGCAAAGATGCAGCATGTTTAAATGTAGCATGTTTAAATGTATGATCACCTGCAAGTCATTGTAACTAACCTGTGCACCCAATGCTGGCCAACTGCTACTGCCTGGCACAGAAAGATTTATGAACAGCAGGATGGAGTGTCATGCTGGCATATCCAAGTCCTAAAAATTCACCAAGTTACCAACATGCTGTTTCCAAGTAACTATTTGAATGACACTCTACTCTGCAAGCATATGAGAAAGACAGGAGTGGGGAAAGTGTACAAAAAAAGAGAATAACTAAGTGTAAGGCCTGTTCTTCCCTGGACCTTGTGTTTCATTACCTTCCCAACAGGCCTGGAAGGCAGCTCACGGTTTGTAGGAAAGCAACTGGAGAACCATCTCAGTGACCACATCACCGTGGTGCTAGAAAAAGGAGGTGCGTTATGGACCTAGATCTCTGACGTCAAAGTCCACACTTTTCTAAGTAAACCATAGTGTGAGCACGGAAGGACTGGCATTCTTAAGATGGCAGTGACTGAGCAGAGTGCTGCCAACAGCCAAGTGTTAGCCACCGAAGAAAGGAGAACCCTTTCAAAACTGGATTCCTCCACTGACACGCCTTCGGATGCTAGTGCGCAACTTGGGCCTATTTATTTGGGTGTGGAAGAATTAGCTTAAACCACTGTGAATAACTGCAGTTATTGCACGTATTCCACAAAGGATTAACATCCAAAAATACAAAGAATTCTTGCAAATCATTAACAAAAGAAAGATGGTCCAATACAAAAGAAAAAAATGGTCAAAGAATATCATTAGGAATCCATTAGGCTGAGGAAATCTGAACTTCAAAGAACAAATGAAGGGTGTGTAACCTCTCCAGTACTCAGGGAAAATGAAGTTAAAAGAAGATACTATTTAATATGGAGCATAGAGGAACAAAGTAAACTGTAGTGGGCAGCCATTCCAGCTTTGATCTGGAAGTTCCAAACCCCACTGAGGCTTCGGTAACTGTCACGCCTACAAGGCGGGGCCGAGAGAGGACCCTGAAGACCTGAGATCTGGATGCACCAGCCTCTCTTGGTTCCTGGACTCTGGATGCTGGAGGTAGACCGAGCAGAGTTCTCCAGAGAACACTGCTGGGCGGCGCTTCACCTTTCCCAGGCCCTGTTACCTATCGCTTCACTTGTGAGTTATCCCACAAAATAAACCTCCCTTTTAACTATGTGGAGTGGCCTTAATAATTTCACCAGTAGTAAACCAGCACAAGGAACCCATCAAGCACAAGTACAGAAGGGAGAGCAATCCAAAGCTTCGCCTGCCTAGACCGCGCAGGCACTCATGCACACATGCAGGCACATGCGCATGTGCCCCCATACCCACACCACATCCACATCACTATACAAGACATTTTTGGGGTAGGTAGGAAAATCTGAAGGTAGTTTAACCGTTAGATGACCCCAAGGAAGTGCCCTCAGTTTTCCTAGGTGTAAGAATGGCATTCACTGTAGTGATGTCAGAAACTAACAATAGTGACACGAAAGTATGATGTTTGAAACCTTATGAGCAGGAATAAAGCGTATATATTTATAAAATCCAAACCAAAATATGTATTACTCTAAGTAGGCTCAGAGATATTTAACCACTCTTTCAATGTTCCTGCAAATGTGAAAATTTTCATAATACAAAGTTTGGAGGAAGACACTTTTTAAAATTCAGCAAATTGACAAATAATTACACTTCCTGCTGGTGTGGTGATACACACCTACAATCCCAGCACTCAGGTAGTAGAGGCAGGAGAGTCACAAGTTCAAGGCCAGCCTGAGCTACATATTAAGTTTTTTTTTTTTTTTTAAATTTTGAGACAGGGTTTCTCTGTGTAGCCTTGGAACTCACTCTGTAGCTCAGGCTGGCCTCAAACTCAGAGATCTGCCTGCCTCTGCCTCTCAAGTACAGTGATTAAAGGCATGCAGCACCACCACCCAGCTGTAGCAAGATTTTATCTGAAAAAGAGAACTGAGACAGCACAGAGAAATTCTCAAAGTGATGAGGATGGGCAACAAATGAAAGGTCTAACTTACAACCTTACGTCTACCAGCTATAAAACGATGTCAGTTACCAAGTAGTAACAGTAAGATGAACCATGTTATTCCTATAATTTTACTGCATACACCCAACATAAACATTTTATAGATCACTTTGAGCAGATACAATTTCATAATCTTTAGTTGTTTGGCAACCTTTGAGAGACAGAAACAAAGCTAGCATAATCTTTCTAGGTAAAGAAAGAATAACGCTTCCAAGTATACAGAATAAGAAATAGTAGTTGTCATTGTCCTCAACTTGAAAACACACACACCGAAGAACCACTAATCCTTTTGTGACTTACAGTGGCACTGTGTCTAACTAAATTTGGACAGCACTTACTTGCGAAGTGCAAACAAACAGGAAGAAAGAAATCATACCTTCCTCATATTTTCTGCATCCATGGCAACTATTTCCAGTTCATCCCTCTCCTGCTTGACGTCCGTCAGTCTCTGCAGCAATGTCTCTTTCTCACCCTGCAGCTTCCTGCATTCATTCTGAGCCTGAGTTGCCTGGCCTTTGATGGTCCCCAGGTACTCTTGCAACCCACTGATGACACCTTCTAAATCCTTCTTCAGAGCTTCATTTGCTGCTATCTGGCCTGTGCAAGGTTAAAACAGAGGGGGTAATATGTATTTTAGAAGTGCTTTGTTTCCTTAGTGATTGGTTTTTAGCCCAGAGTGAAATTCTAAGTTTCTTATTTACTTTATTTTTCAAGATAGGATAATTTATTTCCTATAATATTATGCATGTATACAATAAAATAAGCATATTAATGACAAACATTTACAGAATGCCTAATACTATAAAAATTTAATTTCTGCTAAAATAATAAAAAAGGTATAATAAAACTATGAATTCTTGCTGAATATACAACAAGACCACTCAATAAATGAGACTAACACCAATTTCAGACTGGCAGCATAAATATATACCCTGAAGAGTTATAAAGAAAGTTCAAACAAAGTGATATGTGGTATGGCGGTTGGAGAAATGGCCCATCAGTTAGGAGCAACTGGCTCCTGTCATGGCAGCTCACAACTGGCTGTTAACTTCAGTCCCAAGGGATATGACGATCTCTTCTACATTCCATGGGCACCACATGCACATGGTACACAGACATACATGCAGGCAAAATGTACACATACATTTCTGTGTAAGGATTTTAAAAATATATGCTGATACATGCTATTTTGCAGAATACTTTAAAAACTTGTCTCCACAGCTACTTCTCAAGATATACACAGGTTTAAGGTGGCACACAGTGGCAATCAGGGGTAGAATCATGCTGTACACTAAGTGCAGGCTCTCATTACTACCCCACTATTCTGAGAGTGTTCCCATTTAAAACTGCCTTGCAAATGTGGACCCAGACTTCTTTCCACACACTTTCTGTAACTAGACAAGGAGTCTCCTAACGTCAACCGGCTCCTGAAAGGATTTCACGCCACAGAAGATAATCAACAACCAGCTCTTCCTCATCATACTGACTTCATGCTTACCAGTCGTCAATGTAACAAACAATAATAGTACAAAATACTTTAAATTTTATCAAACATTCTGGATAAATTCAGCAAAATTTCCCTATCAGACATTAGTACTAATACCCAGACTGTATCCAGCCAAGTCCCAGATTGTCTGTCTGAGTAACTTCTGCTAACACTAAGACCATTCACTTAAATCACACTTCAATCTCACCATCAGTAAGCTGTTGTTCAAGATCCTTGATCTCTTCAGTCTCTTTGGCAATTCTAGAAAGGATCTCATCCAAGCGGCTCTCCAGCTGTGTGTACTGCTTGTTCATAATGTCAAGATGCTGTTCTTTACCCCTTTTCTGGGCTTTCATGTGGGACTGAATTTAGGGGAAAAAAATCAATACAACCTAAGTTTTTAAAACTCTTAAAAAATAATCTTTAGCAACATTTTAAAAGGAAGGATAGAAAATAAAATGTGGCGATTGCATCTGCTTGAGTTAGGCCCTGTAGTATTTTCATGTAAGTGGTTCTTGTTAAACCCTAGGATGAGTTGAAATAAGATGAGAAATCAGAGCTGATCAGGAAGTGTAAAATATTAAGGTAGGTCATAGAGAAAATTTCAGTGCTTTATGCATAAATTAAAATGTGTCTTTTAAAAAAGGTTTCCAGAGGACTGGCTATATGGAAAGACAGTATATTAAGAGGGAACATCCAAAAGTACATTCTAAAACATAAATAAGCATTATGTCTGTGTACAAGGACTCTAAGAGATTTTACTTATGGGTTTTTTTTATATTTACAAAATTTTGGGATTGGGAGTTTTATAACAGATAACTAAGGCCTTTTTAATGTGAAAAAAAAATATGTGAATGTACTTTAAAAGGTTTCTTGGGAAAAATGGAGACTTGTAATAACCAAATACTCAGAATTCACGTTTATTTTCTATCTTCTATTCAAACACTTTGTTTTTAGATATACTAAACTGGGAATGGTGAGAGTGCTTAAAGACCATTTATTGCAGCAAGTATTCAATGCAGGGCCTGTGAGAGACATTCTCTCACACTATCCATGGCCCACACACCCCCTGCCTCCTGACAATGATGGCATTCTCCAGCCACTGCCACATGAAAGGAATGGATTCTCTTCCTCAGGTGTGCTGGGGGAAACCAGAGAACCAATGATCTATCTATCTAACCCTTCATTTCACAAATGTAAGCCTGAGTCGCAGATCAATCAAACGTCTTGACTGGGGTCTCCTTCGGCAACAGTCATACACACAGTAATTCTGCCTTCCCACTCATTCCGCCTTACCCAACAGGCTCGGATAATACAATGACTGAGGGAGAGCTGTCAGAACAGTTAGAGCCTGAACAACAAATGCTGAGGTTCTCAAGCCTGAGACCGGTTGGATAGACAAGAGCGCCCTCTGTTTGAGAGGTCTCCTTTCAAATGGAGAACGAATTCGTGGCAACGCACCCTCGTCAGCTTTTATTTTACTACCGGTAAATTTGATCAAGAGATGCTCAAATCTTACCTTTCCCCACACTCCCCACATACTCACCTTCAATCTTTTGACACTCAGTTACTGTAGATAGGAGTTTACATCCTAATAGTACATACACCCTAGGCTCTAGTGGTTCAAAATGAACAAAAGCCCTGCTGTACTCCTGTCCTAACCAACAACCCTTAAAGTCCCAGCAAAGTACACGCAGCCTCTGCACGCAGGGCAGACATGTGGTTCAAGATGTCGGTGCTGGGCACTAAACACACGGACCGACAGCAGACCGCGGTTTTCTGCAGCGGTGGAGCTCACAAAAGAGGTACTGTGAAAACAGGAACTCGCAGACCTGACTCCTCCTCCTTCCAAGCCCTTTCTTTGTACACAGAAGAAGGACCATACCTTAACTCCGAATCTGTCCTGTCACAACTGAGCCATGGAGAACACAAACAGTGGGAGGAAAGCCAAGTTCATCTTCAAATTCATGTGCCCTTCCCTCTGACAGCCGCATCTTTACAAGTGCCTCCGTGCCTAAGTAACTTCCCAGCGCCTCAAACCACCGTTCTAGGCAAGCTGAGTGACAGCGGAGCTGGCCCAGTCACCAGCATGCTCTGTGAACAGGCCCCGCCCCCAACTTTAAATCAAAACACAGGAAGCTCCCCAGGGCCAATCACGCCCAGAGGCTGAAAGATCACTGGGCTAATTCCCTCCAGGAAAGCAGCACAGATCTTTAGGATGTTTGCTCAGTGATACAGTTCCTCTAGCTGGGAAAACTTGGTAACTACAAGGGGATTCGATTTTAAATGCCGTTTTCCATTCTGAAATCTAATGAAATGTATTTTTAAAAAACATCTGACTAGGCTTGGTTCCTGAGCTATTATTTTATTTCTCATATTTTAATCTTTATTTTTGGATTTTAAGCCTTTCCCGAGGATTAAGCAAGGGCCCCATCTCTTCCTCAGAGTGATCGGGGCAGATAACTTAGTTTTCCAAGTCACATTTCTACCCTCTGCAAACTGAAAACTTGAGATGAGGTGAACTGAAAAGGCTGTGCTCTGTGTGTTTCAGCAGATGGCTTCTAGCCACCCTCATGGCATAAGCCACCACTCCTCAGTCTCTTTAGCCTCTCCTCTCTGTGACACTCCACAGAAACACAGTGAAAAGTACACTCCCCTTCTGCCCAGGGTGTCACATCATTTGCTGAAGCAAATACACAATTCAGGCTTTAAGTGAACTCAGGACCATCAGGCTGCTTCTTTCCTGCCTTCCAGGGGGATACAGTTTTCTCTTGTGAGGGCAACCCTTACGCAGATGGAAGACTTCTTAATACATAACACATAATAATGTAAGATGCTACTAATTAGTATACATCACGGTACCTAAAAATCTCTGAGTTTTCATCTAACAAAAATTCCCGAAAATAACCAAGACTCTTAGGGCTAAGTAGGGAGATAGCCATATAGGCATGAGAAGCTGAACTCAGACACCCAGCTCTTACATAAAGCAGGCACAGCACAAGATGGGGGGAGGGCAATCCTGGATCTCACTGGCCCGCCCGCCTAGCTGAATTACTTAGCTCCAGATTCAGTAAGAGATCCTGTCTCAAAAATAAACTAATGAACGAATAAACAAGTGCACAAATAAGACAGAAAACACAAGAGGATGGAAAATGACACTGACCTCTGGCCTCCACACATATACAACATGCACATGTACACACACATCACACTACATATGCATGCATACGCACAATTAATAATACTTTCAGTAAGAATAGTAAGTCTTAAGGCCTTTTTTAGAAAATATGACAATAATGTTACCTTTGTCAAAATTACCTGACCCTCTATTCATAGGTATGAAAACATGAAGGAATCAGTTTCACCTATTTCAGAAGAGTGGCTAAAATGTAAGCCATTAGTAAGAATCACTGACAAAACACAAGAGTCTGACCCTACCATTCAGCATCTGACTTCATAACTCAGGATGACAAACTCCAGAGAAATGGTTTATTTTTAAGGACAAAATGAACAGGAACAGCAAACAGCTTTTGTGGAATATCTGCATGAAGAGACCTCTGACCCCACCCCTGCTTCAGCACTTTCTTCCTTTAAGGAGAGAGAAATTTACAGGGCACCTTGAAGCAAGTCTCTCTTGCTCTAAAATACAATGAATTCAACCACTGCCCCCCATTCTCCAAAGTGTACCACACAGCCTTCATTTACTGAAAGCCATTCTTTCAAGACTTAGGTTGTTTTGTTTTGGATATGAATGCTTCACATGAATACATAGCATATATTTGTATCTAATTATAGATACATACATATATATCACTTAAATCTGTGTATCAAACTAAGAGACTTTCAGAAGGGTTCTGCCATTTAAAATGATGAGGCATGTCCTATCTACACACAGAACGAGTCATGATTTCCTATCGTACTCACATGCTTTGGGTCTTTGGAGTCCAGGCTATCTATGGCTAGTTGCAGGTTGCTGATCTCCTCCTGCTTTTCGGCTGTTTCTTTCCTTTGCTTTTCCATCTGCATTTCTAGATCCAGAGCCTCCTGGCGCAATTTGTTTAGAAGTTGAATTCTATCACTCAACTGCTTGAGAAGAAGGTCCTTCTCTGCTTCTGAAATCTAATTCTCCCCAAACCCCAGCATGTAATTAACAAAGGAGCAACAATTTATAAGTTAACATCTATAATTTAAAACATGTTTCATATCCTAGAAAATGAGTAAAATAAGAGATGTGGCTGTGGTGGTTTGAATGAAAATGGTTCCTATAGGCTCATATATCTGAATGCTTGATCTCCAGTTGTGTGGGAAGAATAAAGGTTTGGCATTGCTGGAGGAGGTGTACCACTGGGGGCACGCTCTGAGGTTTCAGAAGCTCAAGCCATTCCCAGTTAGCTCACTGTCCTTGTGTTGTACCGCAAGATGTCATCTCTCAGCCACTGCTCCAGCACCATGCCTGCGTGCCTGCTGCCACAAAGGTCATGGACTCTAGCCCTCTGGAACCCCGAGCCCCCAAATTAAACAATTAATTAATTAATCTTGTTTTTTCAAGACAGGGTTTCTCTGTGTAACAATCCTGACCATCCTGGAACTCTCTTTGTAGACCACACTGGCCTTGAACTCACAGAGATCCACCTGTCTCTGCCTCCCGAGTGCTGGGATTAAAGGTGTGCATCAGCACTACAGCAATTTTACAGGAAGGAAAATAGCATCACAGAAAACTCGGGTATCTTGCTCAAGGTCACATTAGGAGGTTATAGAACCAAGACTATGTGTGACTTTAGACAATTTTACTATTGTATTACAGTTTAAATAAGGACATAGTATACCAGTGAGTTCCGAGGATTGACACAGTAGCAATAAATTTATATTCATCTACTACTTCCAACAATTTTTTTTTTCTTTTTGGTTTTTCAAGACAGGGTTTCTTTGTGTAGTCTTGGCCATCCTAGAACTAGTTTTGTAGACCAGGGAGGTTGGTCTCAAACTCACAGAGATCTGCCTGACTCTGCCTCCCAAATGCTGGGATTAAGGGTGTGGGCCACCACCACCTGTCTACTTTAAAAAATTTTTAATATAGAGATTTATACAAAGTAGCAATGCTTTTCAGAAGTGTAGGATTGAGGATGGACCACACCTTTAATCCCAGCACTTGGGAAGTGGGTGCAGGAGGAAGAATAAGTAGTTCAAGGTTATCCCCAGCTACATAGCCATTTCCAGGCCACCCTGGGCTACATGAGACCCTGTATTAAAAAAAAAAAATCCAAAATACATTAAAAATATTTTTTAACCTATGCAATTACATCATGGATTTGAACTGCATGAAACACTTGGCAATTGCTGAAGGTAGTTTTTGGTCGAGTGTCCCCCACCTGACTCACAACCTTGCGTCTGACAATGTTCATGCCCCAGCAGAGGTGTTCTTTGGTTCTTAACCTAAGTCCCAGGTGAAGAGGCTTCATCAGAAGAGATGAGTCAGGGAGCAACACAGTATAGGAGACCGAATACATGTTCTTGTGAGAATTTTTAATATTACTTTTACTATTTTAATTATTTGTGTATCTGTATGTGAGTTTGTGTGTGTGAGGGCAGATACCCACGAAGGACAGAAGTGCTAGATCCCTCTGGAGTTGTGAGCTGCCTAACATGGATGTGGGAACTGAACTCTGGTCCTCTGGAAGAGCAGTAATTGATCTTAACTACTGACCCATCTCTCAGTCTCTGTTTGTGTCAATTTTAAGTAATTTATTTCTATACATTTTATGAAATGTTAATAGGATGTTATCATGAATGACATGCTTTAACCATATTCAACTCTAAGTTTCCAACAATTAATTTAAAAATGGTTTTTATGACTATATATCCCTGGCTGGTCTGGAACTCACTCTGTAGACCAAGTGGGTCTCAAACTCAGAGATCTTCCTACCTCTGCCTCCCGAGTGCTGGGACTAATGGCATGTGCCACCACTGCTGAAATTCTATAGGTAGGAAGCAAACCCAGTAAAAATTATTTTTTTAGCTATGCTTCCACATACCTTTTTCTGTTGTACAGCTTCTTCTAGCTGCTTTAACTCTTGAGTAGCCCGTAATATTTTCTGTTCCGCTGTTTCTATTTCGTGATGGAGCTCCGACAGTCGCATTTGTGCTGCAAATTTAAAACAATTCTCCTATACACACAAGAAAAACGCTGACTTCTCAAGTTCTTACTACGTTTCCCTTCTCTGCAGTGAGCTCCACCCTCGCTAAGTTGTCCCACTGCAGAACAAGGAAATCATTACTTATGATGGCTTCCATCTCTATTCAGCTCCAGTCTACAAAACTATAATTGATCCTTTTATTTGTATACTTCTTAACGTGAGAAGGACTTGATTTCTCTTGCCACTGTGAACTGTTTTAAGAGAACAGAACTTCATTGCAAAGTAGGTACTTTACATGTTACTAAGTCATAATTCACCCAGGATATTAATAATAACACCACTACCATCACCTTTGTTACAGATTAAATGCTTTATGATGGGATTCAGTATCAAGAAGTTCACCATTTGGAGCTGGGCATGGTGGTGCATGCCTTTAATCCCAGCACTCAGAGGCAGAGCAGGGGGATCTCTGTGAGTCTGAGGGCAGCCTGATCTACATGGTGAGTTTCAGGACAGCCAGAACCATAGAGAGATCCTGTCTCGAAAAAAAAAAAAAAAAAAAAAAATTGAAACCCAAGTAGTTCGTTGTGGGAGGGCTGGAGCTGGATTTGAGGAAGGGCACTTGTCCAGTATGTGCACAAGGCCTTAGGCTTGTTTCCTGGCACCGATGAAGAAAAGAGAAGGAAAGGAAATAAAGAAAAGGGAAGAGAAAGAAGGAAGGAAGGAAGGAAGGAAGGAAGGAAGGAAGGAAGGAAGGAAGGAAGGAAAAGAAAGAAGGAAGGAAGGAAGGAAGGAAGGAAGGAAGGAAGGAAAAGAAAGAAAGAAAGAAGGAAGGAAGGAAGAGAAAGAAAGAAGGAAGGAAGGAAGGAAAGAAAGAAGGAAGGAAGGAAGGAAAGAAAGGACGATAAACTTTCCTTCGAGGGGACCTCAAATCAGCTACTTTCTACCATAGATTTCATTCTACCCTTTCCCTTGCTCACGCTTCATCCTCTCACAAAACCCTCCTGAAGCCAGTTTATACACACATCTCATTTATTTCTGCTTTCTCCTGCGAAAGCTTCCCATAAAATACATGTAAAAAAAGAAATCAGAGTCCACCTGGACTCCTATGTAACTATCAGCTAAGCAAGAATGTGCTGATAATCTGATTAGTGGGAGCCCCACAGTGGACCAGGAGTCCACAAGGTGCACAGACTCCAGTCAGGGTTCCCTTTCTTCCAAATCCACACAGCCAGTGACTAAGTGGATTCAGAGCTAACCCTGGCAGAGAACCTTTAGTACCTCTTGGCTTAACCTCTTCCTGTACTGGCTTACCAGGAGTGGCAAGATCCCTTGAATTAAACTGGGGGCTGCACACAGGGTTGAGGAAACAGACTGCAGGGCATGTCAGGAAGAGTCAGAGGCCGGCCTGACTTCTAAGCCTAAGGAGAGTGCTCTTCTCCAGTACTGGAAGGCTTTTGCCCTCATGGTTCTTTACCTGCTTCAGTGATTATTAACTATATCTCTAAATGATTAGTTTCAGTGCCTGTTGGCAGAATCCAATTTACATACTTCCCTCCCCAGACAGGTGTTCACTATGTAAGAGGTCTGGCTGACCTGGATCTTACTCTGTAGACCAGGCTGTCCTTGAACTCACAGAGATCTGCCTGCCTCTGCCTCCCCAGTGCTGGGATTAAAGACATATACCATCACCACCTAGCCAGACTCTTATTAGATTGATTCCTTAACATGCTGCCATCAATTACTGTCAGAAATCTCATTCTCAACTACAACAGGAATCATCTAAAAAGCGGGCTCAATTATCACTACTTAGGCTTTAGACTTTTCATGTAAATAATAAGTACCACCAATGTTCAACTAAAACTTATAAGATAAAAATCAGTCTGCATATCCTGTTAGTTTATGCCTGTCCGTCTGTATGCATGCATTACTTCTCGTAGTGCTAGACACTGAACCAAAGACTTGCACATGCCAGGCAAATGTCCATGGAGCCACATCCCCAGTCTCATATTTTTTAAGAACTTAAGAATAACTTTGTTTAACCTGCACTTATTTTTTTTTCTGTGTCTTCCAACTGTACATCCGGTGATGCATGGGCTCTCAGGGGCACGTGCTCATGTCTAAGCTGTCCTCCTGACGTCATCTTCTGGATCTGAACTGCCTGGGCATCGCTGACAATGTAAGTCTCAGTGGCAAACATGTTTCTCTTGTATCTGGATTTGCCAATATAAGGGCTTTCATCTGGGGATTTGTCAATTTCAGCATACTAAAAGCAAGCATAGCAATAGGTTTATAGATTAAGAAGCAACCCAACATTATTCATCTTATTGGTGGCAAATATATCACAGAATTACTTATATTTATATTAATCTTATATGTCTAGAAGCTAAAAGATAGAATGTTATTCTTTATCCTTTTTCATATAGCAAAAAGGAACTAGAACTAAAAACGGTCTCAAAAGGATTCTCTCTACTAACAAGCTGAGAATAACTAAAGACTACCCACGGCTATACAACTCCTTAATATTGTTTCAACTTTCAGTCAAAAGCCTGTGTGTATTATGTTGCTTCCTGACCAATATAAGTAAGATCCCAATCTAATACATTTTAATATTAACATTTTAAAACCTAAACATGATACTGTTGGAATTACTGGTCTTGGACATTTGGCAGTTCCTTGTTTCTATGGCATTTTTACTAGTAATGGCTGCCTGGTGCTGGCTCTAGAGAGCAGTGGGCAAGCCATTTGAGGAGGCGACCACTCGGGTGCTGAAGCACCCGCATTCAAAGTATACCTTGAACTGACCCACACCCAGAGTAAGGTAACAGTGGCCAAGACGACTGCTTTCAATGAGAGACGTGGCTATAAGCAAGGATCTCCTTGGAATGTTTATCTTCTTAAAACACTACTTTAACTCCATGAGGCAAATAACACACACTCAACCAAAACACAGTTTACTTTGGTGATATCCTTACATCAAGAAAATGGAGTGTGACTGGTGGGCTGGCTCAGCAGGCACAGGCACTTGTGGCAAAGGCACCTGCTGCCAAGGCTGACCACCTGAGTTCAATCTCTGGGACCCACACGGTGGACGCCAAGAAGTAACTCCCAAACTGTCTAACCTCCACACGCATGCCCTCCCTATACACACAAACACAAACGCGTATTTAAAAAGAGAACTGAGTGATTAAAATCCCTCCCATCCTGGCTTTAATTTAGAGTGCTAAAAAAATATAAACTTACCTCTGATGGATAATAATTTAGTGGCTCAAACTTAGCATCAATTTTATAAAAGGCCAGTTCCTGCTCCAACTCATACTGCTTTTGACATGCTCGAGTTAGTTCCATTGTTTTCTGTTTTAGCTATTGGTCAATATAAGATGAATCAATATCAGTTAGTTAGCATGACCCTATAATGATACAGGTAGTTCTCACTATAGCTACACCAAATAGCACAACACTGAGACTATTTTATCTCAATCCTATATCATGAAAAAATGAAACACAGAATTATCATTTTAGAAGAGGTCACATAAAAGATCTTTGAAGTTTGTACGCTATTTTCAGGATATAGTGAGTCAAGTTTTAAAAAGCAATTTAGGTTGTTTCATCTACACATAAAAATAAATACCAGCCATTTTGTAGTACTTGCTTCCTGGTTTCCCAATTATTAGCACTAATTTATTGAACTTAACTCTTTGCTTACTCTTCCATTTTAATGATTGCTTCAATTCATGGAGAGACATTTTACAGAGGAGGAGAAAGATTGGCTTTAGTCAATGACTCTTAGCTGTGAGTGTTCAGTACGTGTGTGTGTGTGTGTGTGTGTGTGTGTGTGTGTGTGTGTGTGTGTGTGTGTGTGTGTGTCTCACTGTGTTTCCCAGGAATCTGCTATGCAGCCCAGGCAGGCAGTGTGTGATCTTTCTGTCTTAGCCTCTTGAACACGAGATTACAGGCATGTGCCTCCATGCTGGGCCAGAACATTACTCTGTAGCAGAGGTAAGGAACGTAAATAAGCTCAATCAGATGCAAATATGTGGCATCAGTCATTTTTAATACAGTAACTTTAATTACAACCATTTGGTTACTCTTGGAAGATTTTGGAGTGAGAGAAAAATGTAAGGATAATCTAACCTAATTTTCTGAATTTTTTCAGATTGATGACCTGCCTTGCCACAGGTTACCAGACTACCAAACTAATCCTTTGAGTTCAGTTCAAAGGTTTACTAAGTGACTTTTTTTTTCTTTTTCTTTTCTTTTTTCTTTTTTTTTTGGGGGGGCAGGCATTCTGAGAATTGATTTCAAACAGAAAAGCATGCAGAAATATTTCATGAATATCAAAATATAAGTTGAAAACAAGAAAGCATACACATGAACATTTTACAAGACCAGGAAATCAAAATCGTGCATGAGTTAGCGTGCAGTCACCTCCTGAGTACCATTAAAGGAGTAACACCGATCTTTAGCTCTCTCTGCGAGCCAGACATTGTGTGGTTTACATTACTACCTCATCCAGGCTGCACAACCCACTCTGAGGTGATAAAAGCTGCTCGGAGAGGTTATTCCACTTGCCCAGCTGAGTAGCTGGTTGAAAAGGTAAAGTACAAAGCTGTGTGACCCAGTTTCAAGTCTAACGCGGTCTACTGTGCTAAGCTGCCTTCAGGGTCCTCTTGCAGGCTCTCTAGCACATTGCCCACATTGATGTTTCCAGTGAACGATCAAGAGACCGAGCCTCAGAGATACAATTCACAATCAATAGCATCGACTTAGGTTCAGGTTTGTTCCCAAAGCAAACTGACAACGGGGCCAAAACAAAACAGGGCAAAGACTGCTGGAAGCCCGAATAAGCCTGGACCACTTCTACACTACTCTGTGCTTTCAAAGTGCTTTTCTGTTTCCCATAGTTCTAGATCTACTTAGATGATGATAAGCCCTCAGCAAACATCTGGAAGCAGAAGTGCATACATGGGGGCAACACAGGCCAAGGGAAGTAGTAGGCCAGTAGTATATTGGCTATGGGGAATCAAGAAATGACTGCAGTTAACACACTACAAACAGAAACAATAATACACATTTCCTCTCACATTCAAATTTGCTCTCCTGTATCCAAAGTCATTTACAACATTATTACACAAACACATTCCCAAAGAGGCTAACCAGTTTCAAAACTTAAAATGTAAACAAGCATATCATACAAGTTACCATGCAACATCACAGAAAACAGTGCATTCAGTCCTGAAGGAACTACCTGAAAGAAGAATAAAGACCCAGCAGAAAAAGGCCTGCAAGAGACCAAGAGAAGGAAGGGCTAAGAGAAGCAGCAGACAGACACACATTACCTGCAGCACACTGGAGAGAGGAAGGCTCTGCAGCCCCTAGCATTTGTCTTGATGGCTCACCACCGATGGTGTCAGTCCTGGTGTCACGCTTACTCTAACGCACGGTGTCACTGAGTGTAAATTTACCACCTTACATTCCTTAGCTGCTTTACTTGAAGTTATTCTCACATTTAGAACCTTACCAAATCCTCACAAGGCCATGAAGTGGCGGGACAAGTAAATGTTCCATTTAAACAACAAGAACACTCAAAGGTCAGGGTTAAATACCTTGCAAAATGACCAGGAGGAAGTTGGGTTAGTATTTGCAGATGGTGGAGATAGGGGCCCACTACAGTTTAGATAACCATCAAAACAACTTTGTTTTATAAAGGAACTAGTTTAGTACACAAACAATCACTTAATAAAATTGCACACTGTTATATAATTGGAGTGATATTATCATCACATATCTTTCAAGAGACAAAGGGAAATGTAAGCTCTCTAAAGACCTAGAATTCTACTTCTAAATATACAGTAGTACTTTGAGATAACATGAGACAAAATAATGAAATGGGTAATTTAAAAGGAAAGACAAAATGATCAATTAATATTCACTCCTCCAGCAGTTAAATAATATAAAAATAAACTAAGAAGATTCCATTTTTTCTCTCTAATAAGTTCACAACAATAAACCCAGTTAGACCCCTTTACTCATTGCTATGGAAAACACAAATTAGTAATAAGCTTTTTTAAGTGGACATTGGCATATGTGAGTGTGTGGTGTGTTTGTGTGTGTGTGTGTGTGTGTGTGTGGTGTGTGTTTGTGTGTGTATGCGAGTATGTGGTGTGAATGTATGTGTGTGTGTGTGTGTGTGTTATGTTATGTTAACAACTTGTAGGGCTGGCTGTCATCTTCTACCATGTACATTCCAGAGACTGAACTCAGGTCTGTATACTCAGTGGCAGGCACCTTGACCTGCTGAGTTATCCTGCTGGTCTCATTTATCAAAACTTAAAAAGAAATTTGCACAGTAATTGTCCTTGATGTGATTTATGCTAAAGAAATATTACTGTGAGTATGTCACACACACACACACACACACACACACACACACACACACACACACACACACTCAATTTCTATGTGGTACTATTTCCAAGAGCAAAAACAGCTATCTAAATATCTATCTGCAGAATTGGCTAAATTATGGAGGAGCCATTCAATGGAACAAAAACCGCAGACTTTTAGAATACTGAGGAAGATTTATATATACGTTATTTTTTAACTGGGAGAGCTTTGACTGTGTTATTAAAGATAAAATGCAGTATCTATCTATATTGTCTATAGATACATATACATTAAAAAGATTCCTTTTTAAAATATTCACAAAATTATTCCAGTATATAATGTACTTATTACATATGTAATACAGAAACATGAAAACAAAAAGGCTACACATTAACATCTGGGGGAGTGAAATAGAAGAAAGACTTCATTTCCACATGCTTATATTTCAATGATCTGAATTTGTTAAAACAAATATATTAATTATGTATGAAAAGGTTTTAAAAATGTTAACAATAAAAATAGTATGCTTGCAGAAGAGCATGACTTGTAATAAAAATACAGAAGAAAGAACAAAACTGTTGACAGTTTATAAAACACCTAAGGTGTAACATTATAACAAACAATAGGAAAACAAGGGACTGGCAGGATGGCCCAGTGGGTAAAGGCACTTGCCCTCAAATCTTATGATTTGAGGTTGGTCCCTGGGGTTCACACAGGGCAAGGAGAGAACTAAAAACTGTTAAGTTGTCCTCTGACCTCCACATGTGCACACACCAAGTGTGTGTGTGTGTGTGTGTGTGTGTGTGTGTGTGTGTGTGTGTGTGTGTGTGTAAATTTACAAAATCATATTGTCTGTGTTGAAAGGCCTTTCTTGGCCAGGTGGTGGTGCACTTGGGAGGCAGAGACAGACTGATCTCTGTGAGTTCGAGGCCAGCCTGGTCTATAAAGAGAATTCAAAGTTGGCCAGGACTACACAGAGAAACCCTGTAGGAGTGAGGGGGTGAGAGGGAGGTGGTGGTAGGGCCTGGGGAAGGCCTTTCTTGAAGCACCAAGCACACAGTTAATATTTGTTTATTTTAGGACAGTAGGTATATTCTGATTTTTGTAGTATAGTTCAAGACTCATCAGATTCACTACTAAATGAAAACATGTCTCTGCTAGGTCTTAAATTTACCTCACAAGGCCTGACTTATATAATTACAGCTCTAACTCTTCTTGTGTGAGACAGCGGCAACTGGTAGAGCCCCCTGAGCTGCCTCCAGCCTGGACAACTAGCTCCCTGACCCTCTCCAGACCTCTCAGTTAGGCACCTTCTCAAATATTTGTCCAAACTCTCCTACATTTTAATGTTTTTCTCCACATTTCAACTATAAAGTAAATTATGTAAAAGTTAGACTTTACAGAGATACATAAAGGTCACCTTGGAAATTTCCTAGATGGTTAATCTTCAGAAACAACTCCTGTTAATCTTCTGCTATTTTCCCCCAGAAGACCAATGTGTATCTTTCCATGCAGGATCATGACGGATTCACCATTCTCACCACTTGGAATTTTTCACATAGTAAAATATGCCCAGCACCCTTCCATGTATATACTGTCTCGCTTCATTTTATTAGGAGCTTATTATAAGTTATTCAACCACATGGATACCCAATGATGGATATTTTAGTTATTTGAAATTTTGCTAATGTAAAGCATGTCATATCTGGGTGTGTGTGTGTGTGTGTGTGTGTGTGTGTGTGTGAACACGGGCTTACTTTTACACATTACTGCTACCATTTCTACAGAAAAGGAGTCTCCATGACATAGGGTACATATGGTTAACCTTTGGATAACTCTGCCAGCTTCTAAACATTTGACAATATACAGTCTTATCTATGAAGCTATTTTAAACACCTCCTAACCAGTGTGACCCAGTGTGAAGTATCATGTTCCCTTCATGCTGGACACCATACCTCACACCTTTGGGTAGCATATCACAGTCAACTACAATACCCAAAGCCTTTGGCCACCTTCCCGATGCTCCAGTCAGGATGTTGTGTTTTAATGTAAGCCTCTCTACCTGTGTAGCACAGACTCACCAACTTGTTTTTTGTGCTGAGGTCACTTTCTAGCTCTTCACAGCTCTGTTTCTGCAACATGGCTTCTTCTTTTAAGGACTTGTTTAGCTTATCTTGATTTTTAATTTCTTCAAGAAACTTTGTTTGTTTGTTCTTAAGCTCTTCTGTTTCCACCATCTTCTTTTCCAGGGCTTTTTCCAGTCTTTCGACCTCTTCTGCGAATAAAAATGTAATAGGAACAGAGTGTGCTTCTCAGAGCAACAGCGGAAGAGGTCTAAGAACATGCAACACAACTTTGAAAATTATACACCATGGGCTTTCAGGAAAAAGAGGACCACCTTGGATCTGGATCTGACGTAAGAAAGTAGTAATTGGAGGGGATCTTTATTATAATTATTACTTGTGTGACACACACACAGGAAGCCATGATGTGGCACGGAAGTCACAGGGCAGCTCAGTGGAACTGGTTGGTCTCTTCCACCTGTTTGTGGTTTTCAGGATGGGACTCAAGTTAGCAGGCTTGCTCAGAAGTGCTTCCTCACTAAGCTATGCCATGGTGTGAAACTGCCATCTCTGTAGGTCAAAGTAGACGCATGCCAATTTCAGACTCAATTTCCCCTTCAGACTAACAGAGGCCGGCTTCTCAACATTCTAAAATGGTCATTTTGCACCTTCCTTTCTCCTCAGACTTCCCATACTCCAGCCAGTCTTTCTCAGCTGAGCTTCACATTTCATTAAGGGAATGCCCTTATTTTCCTACTCCAAACAACAAAAGCACCAACATCTACACATTCTTCTCTTCTTAATGGAGAATGTGTCCTTCTTACCAAAGGATGATCAGTGATCTCTGTCTCTCAAATTCTAATCTCATGGTCCTCATTTTTATGAACTAAAAGAATCAAGGTGTGATTCGTCTCTCCTGATCTTAGAAACACTATTTCATCACTACAAACTTCGAGGTTGAATAGCATTTTGTTTCTTCCCATTTCCTGGCCTTGAAGCTATTGGTGAACGTTTAGTCTCGGATCTTTTCTTTACCTTTAAACCTAAAAATCACAATTATTAAGTATTAGAAGAGTGAAGCTGTTATAGGAATTTCAGGTCTTTGCTCAAACACCTTCCTCCCATTCTTTAATCTGTTCACATCTATCATTAACTCCCATTCCTCTTGGATAGCTCTAGGCAAGAACACCAAACCAATTCAAAGAAATTCTTTTTGTCTGTTTGTTTGTTCTGTTTTTTGAGTTTCTCTGTGCAGCCCCAGCCATCCTGGAGCAGGCTGGCCTCAAACTCAGAGATCTGCCTGCCTCTCCTCCCTACTGCTGGGATTAGGTGTGCGCCCCACTGCCCAGTCCAAAGCCATTCTAAAGCCATCGCTGTGCCTGTCTCCCTCGTGTGTCAGCCATTCACCATGGCGACCACTGTTCTCTTGAACAAGTTTCTGGGCTTTTGAAACGATTTCCTGTCCTCTGACCTTGCTAGCCTGTCATTTACTGTTTTCTTGGCTGTCTGCTCACCAGTCTTCCTCTTCTCACACCTTAGACACACACACACACACACACACACACACACACACACACACACACACACACATTCAGGAGATCATTTTCGAGGCAGGGAACTTTTGGTACATAGTATATGCTCAACAGATACTTGCTTAATTAACCAATTTATGGTGCCATTTTCTAGGTAAATTTTAGTAGGATTGTAAGGTTTATAAATTAATCCTTGTTTAAAAAACAAGTCAGATGCAGTAATATGTACCTTTGACAGTGAGTGTTTGTGGGTTTATTGGAGGTGGGCAGGAATGCACACCTACGGACATGGCCTAAGTGTGCAGATCAGAGAACAACTTGTAGGAGTCGGTTCACTCCTTCCTTACCCTCTGAGCTGAGACTATAGAGACAAGTTCCTTCCTCAGTCAACCCAGAGGGCTACTGGCTCTTTTTTTTTTTTTAAAGATTTATTTATTTATTATGTATACAGTGTTCTGTCTGCACATATCCCTGCAGGCCAGAAGAGAGCATCAGATCTCACTATAGATGGCTGTGAGCCACCATGTGGTTGCTGGGAACTGAACTCAGGACCTCTGGAATAATAGCCAGTGAGCTAAACCGCTGAGCCATCTCTCCAGCCCCCAGTCAGGTTCTTAAGTATCACCTTACCTAAACTGAATCTCTCGAAAGCCTCTTGTCTGTCCTGGGTGGTCACTGGCTGACCTTCCAAACTTTCCAGGGAACGAAGGTGGAAAACGGTAAACTGGAGGTAATGAGGAAGGCCCACAACCGGATTCTCAAGGAGGACTAGAGAAGTCAAATCTTGTAGTGGTTTCAACTTGCTTACATCCTGGAGCTGAAATGGTACAATAGCAGCATTGGAATAATTTACTTTAAAATCATAAACTAACAAAGAAAGTAACAAATCAGAGGATTGCTTTTAGCATGTCCAGAAACCTATTTAAAAACCTACTGCCTCAAATTAGCAAGGTAAGAAAGGGACAGAAAAGGAGTATATGAGCACCGGTATATCAGGCAGTAATATTTGTTTTCCTTTGTGGCTCCTCACAAAACCCATGCTGTAAGTGTTACCTGACTTTTACAGGTCAAGGACTCAAGATTCAAAGATATGACTTGCTTGGAACCTAGTGACATTGAACAAACTGGGGGCTTCAATCTAAGTCTGTATTATTCTAAACTAATGTCTTTATTTTGTATTGATCAAATAAGCATGAAATGAACCACGATGAAGGATTCTGGTAAATTTTGAGGTAACAATTATAACTGATGGTTAAAAAAAAAACCTACAAAAATATGTATAGATACCAATATTCTTTGAAGCTTCTTGTTTATTCTAAGGACTTATGTAGGTTGAGAAACACTATCTTAAACAGCTTGTACAAGTATATATTTCTCCTAAATAAACATATATTACCCTTAGTAATGCCAATTCCAAACATACAGATGAGAAAATGATATATGATTACATTTAATAAATACTGAACAGTTTTCCTGTTACTCAGCAGACACTGGGTATGACCTAAAATCAAGAACTGAGAAATACTTAGGGTCAATTTTTGATCCCTGGTTATTTCTTCCTATGGGCCTGTGATTTTCAGGAGCACGAGGTAACATATAAGAATGGTGTAAGGCTTGGACTCTGAGGCTCTTGAGCTGCTGCAGTAAAATCGTCTCCTTCCCAGATCTTTATAAAAATGGAAGAAGGGAAGATACTTGCCGAGTGTGGCAGAGCATGCCCGTGGCAGCAACGTGTGGACATGAAGGCGTGAGAGCTGTAAGTCTGAGTTGTGCTTGACTTACAGAGAAAGACGTCAGCACAAGCTCAGTGTAATAACAAACAAGAAAGATCATCAACAGTAAGATGAACAAATGGTGCCTGTTCTAATGCGTCTTCACATTTAAGGAATAACGAACACACCTAAGTCACTCATTCTCTGAACGTTCCTCTCATTTCTCCTGGGTCTCTTGACACCTCCGTAAAGAGGCCACACAGAATTATTTTCTCTAGTTTAAACAGTTCATAGAAATCAAAGGACTCCAAGGTACATTAGAGCAGCCTTGGCCCGTAGCTGGTCATGCCTTTCCATTTTTAGTCTAACAATTTAAGTTATGTCATGATTGTTTCAGTTCTAACACCCAGTGTAACACCAATTAGGTGCCACATTTATTCATTAGGTGTTCAGAAGGCATTTTCTAACTCAACATAAGTTAATTTAAAATAGGTATGTATTACACTGGAAGCACATATTACACTGGAAGCACGGCACTAGGCAACAAGGCTAAAAGAAGGTGCAATGAAATGATGGATATAAAATACTAAGATCAATTCTTGGTTATTATGGAACCTTTGCAAAATGAGATCAGTCTATGTTTCATTACAGTCAAGAATCCTAGGTTATATCTGAATTTAGCATCTGGTCAATCAAACAAGGATGTTAAAAGAAATATCATACTTTAAAAACAACTTAAGGTTTCTAAATATTTTTTCCCAATAAATAAAAAAATTTGAATAAAAAAGTTTTTAGGAAAATAAAAGGGACTAACTGGAGGAGGAAGGGGCCTAAAAAGAGAGGGCACTGGCCTAAGGGATCATGTTCAATATAAAACATGAACATGGCAGAGTTTACAATTCAAATAACCTAAGTTTTAGAAAAAAATAAATCTTGCTACTTTGAATACTTACCGATGATACCTTATTGCCTTTTAGATTGAGGACTCGCAACGATTTCAACTTCTTTGCGAACCACACTGGAATATGCTCGATTTCATTGCCTGCTAGGTTTAGCTTTTGCAGATTACACATGTTTTCTAGTCCTTCAATCTTGCTGGAAACCAGAGTACAAAAATCACACTTAGTACATAAAATGACTAAGTTCTTTCACAGTAGTTTACAGTAAAGAGCATCAGCTTCACGAAGCTGCTTTTCATAATTCCAATTGATTAACTTTTTCCTGAATGACAACTAAAGAAAGTGGCCAAAGTCAAACTTCCCCACAGAGCTGAACTGCGGCCCTACTCGCCTTCCCGTACTGGAAGATCTCCTAACAGGAAAGGAGAGTGCCCATGGCCGCACCCTGGAGAGAGCAGCACTCACCAGCACACTGCTGAGACGCAGTGCTGTCCGGGGTCCACAACAACTACACTGGCCTCACCAAAGATGAGCTCTACCAGCAGCACATGCGGCACATTCTAAAATGACACCGTGTTTACAAATATATGCACTGCAATGAGAACACTTAACTAAAACACTTGCCATTCCTCCCACTAGACTTTCATTGATAGCATATCCTTTACATTACCAGCAATTTAGTTGTCAATTTAATTCCCTAGTGAATTTACTATACTGACCAAATATTCCTGAGCTTCTCTGTTTTCATGAAATTATTTTCATTAGATCAATTCTTCTGAAAGTTTTCATATTGTGAACTTGATTTGCCAAGTTTTTTTTACATTTCATTTTTGTCTTAATTAGAACTTCTCATTATTACAGTTGTTTTCTCCCCACCCCCAACTTTTTAAAATTGTATGTTTATATATGTTTTGCCTACATGAATTTGTCCATGCAGCAGGTGTGTGCAGTGCCCACGGAGGCCAGAAGAGGGTGTAGGATTCCTCTGACACTGGGGTTACAGTCTGGAGCCACCACATGGCTGCTGGGAACAGAGCCCGTGTGCTCTGCACTGCTGAGCCATCTCTCCAGCCTGTTTTCATTTACTGACCACTGTATTTAAGAAGTCTAAGTCGGGGGAAAAAGTGTTTAAAGATTTCCACGATTTCCTGATTCATCTTCCCCGTTACAGTTTTCTATACCTAGCTTTAGTCATCACTAGGTTTTACATTTATTTCTCCCAGTAGTTGTATATTTGTATGTGAATCTGAATTAGAAATGAGATGTACAGTGTTATTTCTTATAACAATGAGCAAAGAACATGAAGATAAATACACAGGATCAAGTTATTTGGAATATCTTCCAGATCAAAATGCCATTCTCTTACATAAACATTATTATATAATAAGGCAAGGAATCACAGAAAACATCTAGACAAAGTTACTGCTAAAAATATAATTAAAAGTTGGTACAAAAATATATCTGCTTTAATAATGCTAAGTAAAATACTATCCTCTAGTTAAGTAATGCTGACATATGAAGACAGATGGGAAGCTCCAGCACAATCCTTCAGTGCAGTCTTTCAATGACCTGGACGCCCTTAGTCTACCGCTGACAGGAAGACCCTGCAAGGCTACCTAAAGGAGCAGTCACTCACCTGATTTTGTTATATGATAAGTTGAGTTCACGTAATCTTAGCAGCTTGTCCATTTTCTCAATCTTTGCTATGAGATTATAGCTGAGATTCAGTACTTCAAGTTTAACACACTTTTCCAAATTTTCGATGTACTAATTGGAAATAAATGGTAAATACTTTATACAAGAGATTCCTTGACAGAACACACTAAGGGAGGCGCATTAGAGGCTGCGATGATCAGTGAATGCTAACAGCTTTCCTAGACCTCTACTGCTTTCCCTGACCGAGTAGAAAGGTTCTGCCAATACTCTCCCTGACCCTCAGCAGTGCCCATGCAGTAAGCAGCACAGACTACTCAACAAGAACTCTCCACCACCGTTACTCTTTACAAACTGCACTATTTAACGGCCTTTCCCCTTCTCAGTTTAAAGGCAGCCACTTTACAATCGATATGCATCACATGGCTAATATCAATGAAGTGGGATCCATTGCAGCAAGGCTATGGCAGTGGCCTAGACACCCCCCACCCCCCACTCCCCACCCACCCCCCACCCCCACCCCCACCCCGCTGCACAGTTTGTATGCGCCATGTTCACGTTTCTCCTATTATCAGCAAGGCACACTGCACTACAGCAGGGTTTCTATTGAGCCTTCCTCTTAGGCCCTCATTCATCACGAGTATACTCACAAGAATTGTCTACATTTCTTTGCCTGCCTTCCCTGTTACTGCTATTGTACTGGTAAGGCAATAAATTTCCAGCACATCGCAGCCTCTCTATTACCATCCATTCAGCAAATATTTATCAAACGTGGATTATGTGCCAGGAGCTGTTCTATGTACATGAAATATAGTGGCAAGTAAGGAAATAGGGTTTCTTGACTTTACTGGCATATAAACATCAAACAAGATTGTCAGACAGAAAATTCAAAGAAGACAATAAGGAAAACATCGTGATAGGATGACACAAACTGGGCGCTAACTAAGTATCTGTTGAATGAAGAGGAGAAGGTGCCTGTCTAAAAGTGGGTAGTAAGAGAAGCCTCGCAGAGGAAGTACATCCAGCACAGACTCAATAACACAGTCATTTGTGTGTACACCCTGGAACACAGAATACTAGGCCAACTTAAAAATAAAAACCGCCAGCAAGGGTCTGGAGGGACGGCTCTGCAGGTAAGAACACTTGCTGCCCTAGAAAAGGACCCACGTTTGATTCTCAGTACCCACATGGTTACTACAACCATCTGTAACTCTAGTTCCAGGGGATCCAGTGCCCTCTTCTAGCCTCTGTAGGCACGAGGCATGCACAAGGTGCACAGACATACATGCAGGACACACACATACACACACACACACACACACACACACAAAAAAAAAAAAAAAAATCTTAAAAACAAAACTCTGCAGAGGCCTTTTTAAGAATGGCCCGGTGGGTTTGAGAAGGCATGACCTCTGTTCTCCTCTCTGGCTAGTCTGCATCACTTTTACCATCCTTCTCCGCAGCCTCCATGCCTCATGCTCTCGGTCTTTTCCAATACAACAGATCCTTCAGGCTTCCACACTGGCTTTGCCTCCCCAACCCAAACTCCCTGATTCTCCCTAATCTCACACTCAACCCTGGACACTTTCACACCAAACTCTAAAATCCTAGATTACCAGCTAAGCTTATTTACCTGTTTCCATCTCCTTAGACTGACATATCTGGTGCATATAAGAGCTACGAGCAACTACAAACTGATTTGATATTTCATTTCTACAACTCTAAAACTACCGCAGGTTTCCTTCTCTTCCATAACTATATAACTGAAACCTGAGTGTATTCTATTTAAATCTTCAAATGAAACATAAAACATTCACTAAGATAAGAGTCGCACGGCTCAGTGAACCACTGTTAAGAGGCTGATGTGTATGCGCTCAGGTTCTTCTATTCCTTCCTGGCCATACATACAGCAAACAGAATTTTTAAAATAGCTTGAGATTATACTAAATAAACCACTTTTAGAATTTGATTTCCACTGAAACTAATATGAAGAAAAAAGAAGAAACTATTGTGTTGGTTCAGATGGGACTGGCCCCATACACGCACATATTTCAAGCTACGTCCCCAACTGATGGGCTATCAGGGAAGGGTTAGGAAGCGTGACCTTGCTGGAGGAGCTGTGTCACTGCTGCCACGGGGATAACGGACTGACCTCTGAAACCGTAAGCAAGCCCATAGTTAAACGTTTTCTTTTGTAAGAGATGTCTTAGTCTCTTTACAGCAACAGAACCCTGACTAAGACATGTTAACACAGGATTCTAAATCACTTTAGAAAATTGACACATTAGTTCATGGTATATTGCACTATAATTTATTTAGCCAATCTTATGAGACGTTTAGGCATTTCTAAATTTTCTAATCTAAATAGTACTTAATAAGCATCGCTGTAGTGGCATTTTGGTATAGATGTTCAAATCGTGTTCCTAGAATAGGTATAATAGAGCAGGAGAACTTCTGGGTGCTGAGTGTAAACTCAGCGAGTACAAACCAAGTTACTGACCAGAGAACAAGCACACTACCTGCTCTCCGTGCTCACACACACACACACACACACACACACAAAGAATATCCCTTCTCAGACCTCCGGGACAGTGAAAGCTTTCAAAACTTGACCACTGGCTGTACAAAACATACAGTGCTACCAAACCATTGTTTTATTTGACAGTAGTGAACCAACGGGTCAGGTCTCAGGTTATTAGCGGTCCTTGACACCACATTTTGAACTGCCTGCTCACATTCTTTGCAAATCTCCCGTCTCTGTCACTGAGTCGGAGGACATCTTCTGCGTTGCACAAATGGTGCTGTAAAACGTGCTGCCCACACTCACTGCCAGACCTGTCTGCCTTTGGCCATTCACAAAGCGGTCTTTAAAATCTTCAGGAAGCTGAATCTATAGCACCTTCCTTTATGGTAGTATGCTAGTGTTTATTGAGGAGGAAAACAACAGTCTCATTTTCTTTTGAAGCATTTCTTTGTATGTTTTGCTTTCCCTGAGTTCTTTCCCTCTGCGCTTAATGTTTGGATGCAAGCATTTTTTAATTAAAAATTAAGCTTTACATAGCCAGACATGGTGGCACACACCTTTAATCCCAGCACTCGGGAGGCAGGGGCAGGAGGATCTCTGTGAGTTCGAGGCCAGCCTGGGTTACAGAGCAAGTTCCAGGACAGCCAGAACTACATAGTGAGATCCTGTCTCAATAAAGGAAAATAAAATAAAATAAAATAAAAACAAAAAAAGAAATTAAGCTATTACAATGTGCTTACGTAACACAGTCTGAGATAAAGTAGTAAATGCTCCAGAGCAAGGAGAGCAAACATTTTCTATAAAAAGCCAGCTAGTACATACTTTTGATTCTGTGGGCCACATCTAAACTCGATTATTAGAGTGTGTAACTAGCTGTAGACAGCATGTAAACAACTTAGTGTGGCTGAGTACCAATACAATTATTTACAGAAACAGTAAAGGGGCTTTCCAGTTGCTTCTCTAGAGTCAGTGAAGTATAGAATACTGGACAAAGGCACTAAGATATGGAGATATCACACTTCTGACAGAGAACTCCGCTGCAAACAACACAGCGAAAGCTCTGCTGCCAGTTAGGTAAGAAGATGACACCCCCACTGAAAACAAGAGGGCACAGAACTCTGGCTCCTCCTGTCTGTCCTCCCTCTTTTCTGGCTGCCAGGAAGGAGCTGGGCAGCTTTGCTCTGCATGTCTCTCTGCTGTATTTTGCTTCACAATAGGCCCCCCAAATACCAGAGCCAAACAACTATGAACTGAGATCTCTAAAACCAAAACAAAATAAAATGAACCAAAATAATAATTACCCCCACAATACATAATATAAACAAACTGTTCCAGCTTAAAAAGCAATATAATGCTGCCAGTACATGGTTTTTAAAAGTCCCAGTAGTGAATAGACATTTCCTAAACACAAACACTATAAATCTGAAACGAAAACTTGATTTTGCCAAAGCAATACTTGCTAAAAGTTTTCACTGAAGGGTGCTGGAGAGATGGCTCAGCAGTTAAAAGTGCCTGTACTGCTGGTGCAGAGGACCTGAGTTCAATTTCTAGCACCTATATCAAGTAGTTCACAAATACCCACAGCTCCAGCTCCAAGGGATTCAATGCCTCTGACCTCCTGCACTCATGTGTGCAAACACACAAAACTAAAATTAAATTTTAAAAAATAATTGAAGGAAAAAATAAAAGACATTCTTAAAAAAAAAATTCTGGCAGGTTTAAGACATAAAAAAATGAAATCAATGTTTATGTTTAGAAATTGCCGGAAACCTACCCTAAATTTCTTGCCACCATCTTTAGAAAGTGAAAGGTTCAGAGAATGTACCAGGGTCAAATTGTCTTGTTTAGTGATTTTTTTGATGAGGGCCTCTGTAATATACCGGACTCCTACATATGAATCCGCTCCTGAAATCCAAAAATAGGTCATTATCAGTAAGAAGGTATAAATATCATAAAATACAAATCACTTTTACACTATACTTAAGGAAATTTTAATCTATGTAGATGTACAGAGTATCTGGCTAGTTGTAATCACAGTACCTTAATATGTCAATTTATATCACTTCACTATCATGATGAAAACAGTTACAGTTTGGGCTTTGTGATAAATGTAATTTGTATAAACCTTTGAAGAAAAATTATTAATGTTCACATTCTATAAAAAACTGTTTGATCAAGAGAAACGGCTCATTAGTTAAGAGCACTGGCTGCTTTTCAGAGGACATGGGTTTGATCCCAGCACCTACACAGCAGCTCACAAAGGGATCTAATACTCTCATCTGGCCTCCAAGGGCACCAGGCATACAAGTAGTGCATTGGTACACATGCAGGCAAAACATGCACATACAAAAATAAATATTTTAAATTATTTTTCTCAATATCCTGCAACTAATATATAAAACCATCAGGTCAGCAGAGGTTGACGGGATTTCAAGACCTAGTAAAGAATAAAGCATTTCTAAAAACAGGAACTAGCACAGCAGAAAGTTTTTAAGAAAAAAAAAAAAAAAACTTGAAATGCTGGGGGGACATGTGCATGGTCCCTCAGTGGAAATCAGTGCTCTCACGGAGAGGCAGTTTGGAAACCAGCAGACTGAAGAGGCGAGCATGGCTAAGCACATTTCTACCTTGAAAGCACTCCTCTCTCAGGTAAGGAGTATGTCCAACCCCACCTAAACAAAGAGGGTGGAATATTCCTAGGAAGAGCTTGAAAGAACTCAACAAGAAATCCAACCTCCTCTTCTAGAAACTCCCCACCCCTGACGCCTTCACAGACATCTCTTTCCTCACCCAAAGCCACAGTCCTCTCCCCATTCACACAGTCTGTACCAGTTAAAACAGCACTTCAAGTTAGTTCAGGAGGGTGTTACATCCGGGTCCTACATCTAAGCTCAGTACTTCCCATTTCTACTTACGTGTGAGAGCAGACACATTTTTAGCAGTACCTTTATGGTGTTGGGAGTCCAAAGGCATGGTGTTTTCCTCTGTAAGCTCAGCCTGTACAGACCACTGTCCGCCAGCATGAAAAGGTGGAGTCTCAGACCCAATTAAAGGTGAAAGTGACCTGGATCGCATACTGGACATAAGAGGTGATGGCCCAGAAAAATGAGATGACAGTGGCATCTTTGCTTTGGAGAGCTTTTGTTCAGAACCTTTCTTCATTGCCAGCAAGAATAAAACCAGGTGGCCATCAAAACCTGTAAGAGTTTTCAATGTATTTAATAATGTTAACTCTCTGCAGTTATTAAGAGTATTAGATTACCTCTAGAGCTCTAAGACCATAAGGCTGTGAACTCAAAGGCTATGGAGACTTGGCCCATACTTCTCTAAACTATGGAACGGGTGTTGTCTTAAATGCTCAGGTCGGAGTCTTTCTTGTTACTTCTTTTCTCGGTTTATCAGCCCGAACTTTTCCCAGTCCTTCCCATACAGGGTCACATATGGGAATACATGACAACCAATACTTGTAAGCACCCTTTCCTCCCATAGACCGGTCTGTGACAGCATGTTCTATTGGCTTCCTTCTGTCTTTCTGGCTACTCCATAGCCTCCTTTGCTGGATCATGATCCTCTACTCAGCCCAAATGCCAGTACTCCTCTAAGTTTCCCTTTTGTCCCCTTTAAATGTCACCTTGGACGATCCAACACATACCTTCAGCTCTCAAATACACAGTTAAGTTTTTGGAAAAAACATTTAGTGAGATAGTGTATTAAGTTAAAGTAGTTTTCAATCTAATGATAAATTGGTATCAGAAGGGGATACTGGAATAGAATGATGTATACACATACTTATGTATGTTCAATTTGGCCTGCGGTTTGCATTCCTTTGGCCAAACACAACCTTCGTGTACAAACTAAACTGAAAGTCCAACTTAACAATATACTTTTGAAACAAGTAGCTTTTCTTAATCGCAGGTTTGCTAAGGTATCAAACCATGTTCAAATAAGACAAAAGTTGACCTGCAACCAACGAACCTGTTCCCAAACCTCAGTTCCATTTCTGTCCCTCAGTGCTGCCTGAGTCTCCATTCTCCAAACCTGTAACCCCAAACCTTGGCTCACAGGATAGTTACCCCATGAGACAGTATATGTTCCAAAATCCAGACTTGGGCAACTCAAGGAGGGACCTGCAGGTGCACTGTGACTTTGGAACCATCACTTAATCTTTCAGGTCACAGGTTATAAACAGGTTTCTGGAATCCACAGAATATTTTTCTAATCCTATGACTGGGTAAATATAAATTTTACTTTGCAGGAGAGGTAACAAGACTTCATAATAATTTAGTGAGATGATCACTAGGATTTGACAAGAAGAATTCTAGATGGTTTACAATTTTGATGATTTGGAGAGAAGGCTAAGATGTAAGATGCAAAATAATTGAATTGTCTAAAGATATCGGGTGCTTTATTTTTAAACAAAAACAAGAAAAATATAAAAATATATCTATAGTATATGATACACATTATTCTATTTTGATAATCATCAGATATGCTGAGACAGGAAAAAAGATATAAGAGGAAGGGCCTGTACCTCCCTGTTTTGTTTTGTTTTGAATTTCTTGCCTTTATGAAAACTATAACCTAGAGTATTTGTCATCCATTAATTAATTTTATTCGAGAGTGTCTTAGTTACTTTCTATTGCTGTGGCAAGACACTATAGCAAGGCAACTTAGAGAAGGAAGAACGTATCCAAGGTTACAGTGAGGTAGTTCATGACCATCATGGCGGGCAGCGTGGCGGCAGGCAGGCAGGCATAGTGCTGCAGCAGCAGCTGAGGCCTCACATCTTCATCCACAAGCAGAAGGCGAACTACCTGGCCCACCCCTAGTGACACTACTCCTCCAAAAAAGCCACTGCTCCTAATCCTTCCCAAACAGTTCCACCAGCTGGGGACCAAGTACTCAGATATATGAGCCTATGGGGGCCACCCTAATTCAAACCACCACAAAGAGTAAATACATTTTATCTAAGTGTTTGCATCAAGCCTAGTTTCTCAAGCTTGAATGTATTGTTCATATCTGAAGGAGAATGCCAGTTCACCTTAACATAGAATCAATAGTATGACCAAGAGACTCTCTTCCATGAAAGAATAGTGTGATATTAGACACAAATGGGTTTTTGTTGTTTTAGTTATTTTAGCCACCCTTTTGAAATAAAGAGCAAAAAGTTTTGTGATGGTGGTATAAACAGTAGTTTTGTGACTTCTGGAGAAAGCTTTTCTGACTTATATGGTTAGTTACACATGAGAAAAATGAAAGAAAAAGTACAGACATATGTAAGTTAGCAGTTTAAAGTAGTGATGTGTGTGTATGTGTGCAGTGAACTAACTATGTAATATTGTAGTGAGGCAGAAGTCACTTAGAGTTTGTTTTGTGTAAGGCATATGGTGCCCTGCAGGACACGATGAAAACATGATCCAAACCCCAGAAAACTCATTTAGCTATGTAACATGGTAACAAAGAGCACAGGTTTGGGGATCATAGGAGAATTAAAATTTTGGCTTATCCAATTAGTGTGGAACTTTGGGCAAATGAACTCTTCATCTGTAAAATATGAGATAGTATGTATTCAGTTCTTCCAATGTGACAATATATGACGTGTGATCCTAATTAGTCTTATCAAATAAAAACCCAAAGTCAGATATTAAGGGTGAAAGCTAAAAGATCAGAGAAGCAGAGCAGCAGACCATCAGAGACTTCATACCTCTATGAAATCTCAGACTGAATGGGGCGGAGATCCTGTCTCCATGAATCCTCAGACTGAATGGGGGGGAGGGTGATCTTGTCTCTAGGAATCCTCAGACTGAATGGGATGAGATCCTGTCTCCACTTGCCTTCTAATTCCTGTCTGCACCTCCTTAGTGCTGGGTTTAAAGGCGTGCACCACCAGTGTCCAGCTCCGATTCTCTTTTAGACTGGTTTAATATGTATAGCCCAGGGTGGCCTTGAACTCCTGATCTTCTTGCTTCCTCCTCTCAAATGCTGGGATTAAAGGTGTGTGCCACCACTGCCTGGCTTCTGTGGTTAACGAATGGCTAGCTCCACCCTCTGATATCCAGGCAAGTCTTATTTGTCAGAACACAAACAAAATATCACACAACAAGTACAAGTTTGTTATGGTATTTGGTACTTGGTAAACCCTGTGTAAATACTGGCCACTAGCATGTTCTAGTTCACTTTGGTTGTCGCCACTCATTTCTTAAGGAACAAACAGAGAAGTATGGCCCTGGGTTGTTGTTGGCAATGGGTTGAAGTTTGACCCCAGAATGGACAAATGGAAACAATGGAAAAGAGAAGACAGGGAAAGGTAGTGCTCGTGCTGTCAAGGAACAAAATAGAAACAAGAAAACAAGTGGAGAGCTGGAGATTTGTTTTTAAATGCCCAGCAGATGTTCAACAGAGCAAGAGAGCCACTGGAGTGTTGTGACAATTAGATTCATATGACTAAGCTATAACACACGACATCGTGCCACTCACAAACGCAGATGCTTGCCCTGACCTAGCAACCCCAGCAGTTTTTCCTTAGCGCTTTGACATCTTACTACTATCCCTGATTCTCTTCCTTCTACCCCTTCTGGCTTAGTTAACTATTCTCGTTAAACGTCATCATCCTTCGAGGTCTCTAACCAACGCCCCACTCCGTGCTACCCACTTCTGCCTTTTACTTTTCACCACCATTCGAACTTCAGTTTCCCCACAAGTTCTGTCCCCGTTCCCATGCACCAGTCCTCCCCATTTCTCCACAGCTCTACTCCTCTCCCTTAACTTCAGTATCGATCCCATCTTCCTCACCTGCTTATCTCTCAGTTCAACAAGTACCACATCCTTCTCCATTCGAATACTCAAACAACACGCCCAACCGCCGCTCATCTTCACTTCAACCTGATTATCTCAGAACATGCCTTTCCATGTTAACACCCTGGCTAGTATACCTTCCTCTATCCATTTACAACCTTAGTTCTTCCCTCCACCTCACAAACTTCCCGACCCTCTCTATTAGTTTATTTACCCAACTTCACCAAACAATTTTTATGACTTGAGGAGCGAACACAGCTGAGGTCTCTACACTCAGAATGTACGAGAAGACAGTCTGCACTGCGGACTCTGCACTAACTGATTTATACACATTCATTCCATTGGATGTGTTTCTCCCATCAGACTGTAAGCCACAGGAGAGTAGAGGAGGGCTGCCTATTGTGTGAACAATAAGAAGGCCGACTGCCTGGAAGGGACAGGTGAACACTCCAAAGACACTGCCATTAAAAAAAAAATGTTTAAATATAGATTTTATGAATATGGACGCTTTGTCAGAATGCACACCAGAATACGGCATCAGATCCCATTATAGACAGTTGTGAGCCACCATGTGGGTGCTGGGGACTGAACTCAGGACCTCTGGAAGAGCAGCCAGTGCTCTAAACCTCTGAGGCATCTCTCCAGCTCCAGACATTGCCAAATTTAAATCCTTAAGATGCTATGTTACAACAAAATGACTCATCTCATTTACAAGTGGTAGTTAGCAATCAAGACCTTGGATTCTAGAATTACATGGCCTAAATCAAAATCGCTTTTCATTTACTATGTAACATTAAGACAAATTATTTACTTTGAGGTTACTTGCTCAGTTTTAAAGTGTGAATGCAACTTCCAGTTACATTAAATTCTAAATGACTTTATACTTAAGTAGTGTTTAGAACTGTATCTGACACATGGCGAACACTCAAAAGTGATTAGATATGACTCTTACACATGAAGAAACAGATCAAGTGTGCTGATTGGTTTTTGTCAACTTGACACAAACCTAGACATAACTGTGAAGAGGGAATTTTAATTGATAAAATGCATCCATAAGATTGGCCTGTAGGTGCCAGGCAGTGGAGGAGCACACCTTTAATCCTAGCACTTGGGAGGCAGAGGCAGGTGGATCTCTGTGAGTTCAAAGCCAGCCTGGTCTACATATGAGTTCCAAGATAGCCAGGGCTGTTACACAGAGAAACCCTGTCTTGGAAAACCAAAGATTGGCCTGTAGGGCATTTTCTTGATTAATGGGAGAGGGCCCAGATCCCTGGGGACCATACCACCCCTGGGGAAGTGGTCCTGGACGGTATTTTGAAAGCAGAATGAGCAAGCCAAGAGGGACAAGCCAGTAAGCAGCATTCCTCCACTGCTTCTGCTTAAATTCCTTGGTTGAGTTCCTGCCTTGATTTTCCTCAGGGACTTGTAAGACAAACCCTTTCCTCCCCAAGTTGATTTTGGTCACAGTGTCTTACCACAGCAATAACTAAGACATCAAGGAAGCAGTTAAGAAACATGCCCAGGGCGCCTGCGAGGTGGCTCAGTGGGTAAAGGCATCCGGTGCTAATTTGATGACCTAAGTTCCATATCTGGAACCCAGGTAAACGGCGGAGGACAGAAGTGACTCCACATGTGCGCCACGGCATGTCCCCCGTTCACATTACTTTAAAAAGGGGACCTGCCTAGAGCCACCGAGCTAAGGTGTAAGGAAATCAAGTGTGGCGTCCACCTTCACTGCTCCCGTCTCGGTGGCAGGCATTGGGGGACAGTGGCACAGCCCGGCCTTCCTCCCAGCGGGACCTCACCCTCCAGAGCGTCGCACCCTCCCTGCCCTCCCTCGCCCGCCCTCGCCCGCCCCTGCCCTTCCTCCCTCCCGTCCAATCCCCTTCCCAAGCACACACCCCCGCCCCGAATCCGTCCCGAGCCGGCCCACCTCACGCTGGCCCCGGGCCTCCCGGCCTTAGCCGCACGCCTGCCCCGCTCGGTGCCGACGCCGAAGCACGCTTCACCGCCTGCGGAGCGGGAGGGACAGCCTCGCGGGACGGGCCACACCGAGACGCGGGCCCTCAGGCGACCGGCGGCGCGGCGGCCATCTTGTTGTGTTGTGCCAGTTGCCGAGAGGAGCCGCTCGGTGTGGGCGGGGCTTATTCTCGCCACGCCCCCGGCACGGAGCTAGTGGGCGGGGCGGGGATAACTTCCCGCCACTCTTGCCGCCTCTGGGCGAACTCCGCTTCGGATGCGCGGCCTCCGTGTACCAAGCTGGCGGGCTGTGGTCAGCCTCCTGGGCACGAGTCTGTGAGGGGAGGCTTCCAGGCCAGCCGTTCCTCTCCCCCAGGTGTCCACAACATTCGCACCTGGAATGGTGGAAAGCTGGCCTTGAGTTCCCCTGTCTCGAAGCAGCTTATCCCGTACCTGACTATTTTGGAGGCAAATTTGGGAACCTATCCAGCCGGACGTGGCTGCGCGTCCTTGGGCTCCAGCTGCCATCGTCCTGAGGTTTAGGGAGCTATGTGAGCCTGAGATATTCAGCCCGACAATACTCTTCATGTTAGCACAAAGGAACTAAAGCAAGAAGGATTTGCAGAGACTTGAGCTGGGTATGCCCCAAAGTGCTGTCTTCTACCGCATTTTCTGCTTTGATTGCATGTTTGTCTGCGCCACGTGCATGCCTCCTGCCTGTTGAGGCCAGACGACGGCGTCAGATCCCCTAAAACTGCAGTTACACACCATTTTGAGCTGTCATACGGGTGCTGGGACTGAGCCTGGGTCCTCTGGGAGAGCAGCCAGTGCTTCCAAGCACTGAGCCACCTCTCCAGCCCCTCCAGCCTATTTCTTAACTACCTTATTCTCCAGTCCAGCATTAAAGTTTCCTTTCTTTACCACTAACTTCCTGGTTCATTTTTCAAACACTTTTAGGTATTTCCTCTCTGCGTCGGTTTCTTCTCCCACGTAATGGGTAATCATCTCCATTTCCTGCAGCTTTCCTAATGAGCAGAAACTTTAATGATTCAAAAGAACTTAGAGCAGTATCTGACATTTAGTAAGTTCTCAGTATGCTCTAATTGTTTTTATCATTAAGCAAGACTTCTTAGAAATCACTTTTCATCTTAACTCTGAAAGAAGAATTTAACCGAAGGGCGGAGATTTGCTTGGCCAAGAGAACACCTTGTCCAAACCCCAGGAAGAATTGGGGAAGAGAACTTGGCAGTGAAGTGGATATTAAGTAATTCCTTGTGGTTGGAAGAAAACGTAAGTAATACACAAATGTAGTTCAGTATGGCTTGTGCAATAGTCTGGAGTGCAGAAGCTGAAGACGGAAGAGGAACCTTACAAGCAGCTTTCAGCCTTGCTGTTGTATAGAAGCAGAGGTCATTTCACCGGACAGGAAATTCTGGCAATTGCCAACAGGGGGCGCTATTTACTCCCGTTTGAATGATGCTCCCCTCCCCATCACTATGCAGCACAATAGTCATTGCAGTTGAAACGCAAACTTTATACAAAGATTTGTTTAACCTTGGAACGAAGTTGTATCCATTTCTAGTCGAAGTTCAAATGTTATGTATTAGTTCCATATGTGTACATTGCTGAGGTTCCGTTCTGTTCTTTAATACCCGTCTACTTGTCTTTTCAACCAGAGACTTGGGCTTATTGCACAAGCTCATGGCTGTACCCCTAAACTGTAATGGTGTTCAGATGAGTTACATTGTCAGATTACACTGTGCCAGAGTTAATTCATCAATCCTGTCAGTAGCTCTCAAAAAATACACACAAAATTCCAGGGAGTTGTGTAACCCCTGTTTTCATCTGGTTTCACATTGCCCTGTTTTTCTTCTTCATATGGATCTAGTAATTAACCTTCCCTGGGGTTTAGCATGGTGAAAACCTTGGATATACCTCCATCCAGCCTTGGAGACTTCAGAAGAGAGACTGAAGTTGTCATTTTTCTGGGTTGCATTTAATTTACAATATAGATATCACCTAAGAAGATGTGAAGGTAGCCTGGCTGTGACATGTCTCCAAGGTTGAAAGATGGGCCACGGCACAGTGACTTAGTTCTCGCTACTCTTTTGTCCAAGCCCTAGCAAAACTCTGCGTTCTTACTGCTTCCTCCTTTGCACTCCACACTGAGCACCGTGTGTCACCCTTAAAAGAGAGTCAGAGGGACTTCTCAGGCAGAGGTGGCAGCCTCCACTGTCCCATTTCTGTGACTTCCTAGCATGACTTTACAATAATTAACTAAATTACAGCTACGTTTAAAAATAAAGCTTGTTTCTGTTGGTTGGAAATTTCATACGTACATGCAGTGTGTGCTTATTTATTTATTTTGGTTTTTGAGACAGGATTTCTCTGTGTAGCCTTGACTGTCCTAGAACTAGCTCTGTAGACCAGGATGGCCTCGGTCTCCCAAGTGCTGGAATTAAAGGCGTGTGCCATCACCACTGGGCCACATTGTGTGTTTTGGTTAAACACATCCCCCATTTCCTACTCTACAATTCTTTCACTCCCCCCCACACACACACACTTTTTCCTCTGAAATTAATGTGTTTTGTTTTGTTTTCTGTAAACCCATCAAGTTTATTTAGTGCTGTCAGTATGTGTAAGGGTGTAGGGTTGTCTGCTGCTGAAGCATGGGTGGCCTCTCAAGGGTCTCATCTGTAGGTGGCAGTTTCTCTCCTGCCTGCCTATTCCCAAATACCCAGCAGCTGCTTCCCAGATAATTGACTCAGAGGCTTAATATTATTTATAAATGCTTGGCCAGTAGCTCAGGCTTATTACTAACTAGCTCTTACATTTAAGTTAACCCATAATTCTTATCTATGTTTAGCTACATGGCTTGGTACCTTTTCTCAGTAGAGCATTCTCTTCTTGCTTCCTCTGCATCTGACTGGTGACTCCTGACTCCGTCCTTCCTCTTCCCAGCATTCTTAGTGTGGTCACCCACCTACACTTCCTGCCTGGCCAGTCAGCACTTTATTAAACCAATTCAAATGACAAATCTTAACAATGTACAAGAGGATTATTCCACAGCACTCATACCTGAAGAAAACTGAGTCTTGTAGCCTTCATCAATTGCCAATAGCTCCTTAGCTAGGGTTGAGACTGTGATCCCATGCATGCTAGGATTTTTGTATGACTTACACTTTTGCCTCTAAGTCTTATAAGGTATAGTTTACAAAAAATATTTTCCATGATAAATGTAAATCCTTTCTTAGACCTTTGAAAATATAGATATGAGAAAATGACCCGATTCTATAAAAAATTTCAGCTGGCCTGCTGCCATCTACAGAATATCAGACTTCATAGGCTGCCTTCAATATCTTCCCTCAATTAACTGGGCTTCTGTTGTTGTTTGTGTTTCCTTGTTCTGTATTTATTTTTCAATATGTGGATATGTGATAACCCTAACATGTATGTAGTCTGTGAGTATGCTTGGTGAATGAATGTAAATACCATTTTGGCTCTGAGAGAGATTGTAGCGCAGTGAAAAAGTGGAAATATGGCATTGTGACAGTGGAGTAGAATTACAGACTTCCTTTTTAACGCGGTGTGAATCCAAGTATGCACTGGGAGGACCTTCATGTCCACTGTGTCATTTAAAATAAATAAATAACCTAATGGGTTAACCCTAGGCCTTTTCCCGGTGCTGAAGTTTGTGACATTTGTAGTCTGCCTCTACTCTAAAGCCAGGACTGGGCTTAAACTCTCAGGTCCAGCTAGAACCAGTCCTGCAAATCTGGAACCACTTTGTCTCTGAACCCTACCCCTTAAAGCCAGATTCACCATTCCCTTCCCCAAGGTCAAAGAGATTCTCTCATCTAAGTGGAAGGGCACATCCCCAGAACACTGAAGACCAGAACGGACAGCAAATGCTATTTGCTTGTGTCCAGCTTTCTCATTTGTTCAGCTCCAAAGACCTCTAACTTTGCTTCTAATATTAAAGCTTCTCTAAGGTGACTATGTGAATTGCTGTAAAAAGAAAGTGCCCCCACTGCTTTTTTCAGAAGAATTCTAACTAGTTAATATAGATAAAATGACCATCAAGGCCAGGAGCATGGCAGCAAGCAGACAGACATGATTGATGGAGCAGTAGTGGATATTTTACATCTTGAAATACAGCCATGAGGCAGAAAGCACTAACTGGGAATGTTGTGGGCTTTTGAAACTTCAAAGCCTACCCATTGTGACACATCTCCTGTGGGGGGCTACCCCACCCCCATTTTTCCCCAGGTTACTCAAACAGGAACAGCATGAAATATTAGATAAAAATATAGTTAGAGAGACACAGACAGAAAACACAGGATAGCCTCAGGAGGGCCTGGATCATAATCCATCAGGCCCTGACTGTATCTGCCAAAGGGCTTTAAAAGGAATGCCAAGGAGTAGAGCAAAAGACCTCCCCCAGCACAGCCAAGTGCAGACTATCTCAGATACCTGGTGACCATGCACATGGTCAAGCCATCCCCTAGTGCAGCCCTGCTGTGTAAACCAAACTCAGATCTCACTAGGAAACCTCTGTGGACCCCAACATCTTCTATAAGGCCACACCTCCTAATCCTTCCCAAACAGTTCTACCAACTGAGGACTAAGTATCAAACATGAGCCTATGAGGGCTTTTCTCATTCAAACCACCATACTTTCCATGACATCTTAAAAGTTTTAGTTTCTGTATTAATTACCCTCATCATCTTTTTTAAATTTTTTCATTTTTATTTATTTATTTATTTATTTTTCTATTATCAGCTTGATACAGTATAAATTCTTATCCTAATAGTAAAAGTGAAATGTTTCATTGAGGCTTGCCCAGTAATTGAGTAAAACCAAAACTTATTATAAGCCACAGTCATTCTAGTGTCCCCCCTGCTATATAGCCTCTCTGGTTCTATGGGTTGCAGTCTGATTGTTCTTTGCTTTACATTTAGTATTCACTTATGAGTGAGTACATACCATGTTTGTCCTTCTGGGTTTGGGTTACCTCACTCAAGATGATATTTTCTAGTTCCATCCATTTGCCTGCAAATTTCATGATGTCATTGTTTTTCTCTGCTGAGTAGTACTCCATTGTGTATATGTACCATGTTTTCTTAATCCATTCTTCAGTTGACGAGCATCT